AGGTGACCTTTGTGTTAGAGGTGTAACACGTTTGTCATTCAAACTTCTGCACCTTTTTGAATGTCGAGGTTTTTTTGGTTGTTTTTTTGTTTTTAAGTCGAAGGTGTTGAACATGCTTAGGAATGGAATTGGAAGGCCAACTGAGGAATGCTAATTCAGTGCATCATGGAACTGAGTACCTTAAACTATAATTCCTGGCCAAAACAAACAAACAAACAAGCAAACAAAATCAAGGAAAAACACACCACAGTGTACATATTGCTGAGCTATATCCCTGGTTATCATATATCCTGCATATCACAATATTAATATAAATACATGAGCTGATTAATTTGTTTGCATAGTGTTTACATCTAGTATATGCTAAAGGAACAAAATACTATCATAAACTTAATCAATTGATAGATGAATAAGTTGGTGGGTGGTTGAAAACATGTTCCCTACATTTATAGTATCTTCTTTTAGACCCAAAGTTACTACCAGGACCATGGCAGGACTCATGTCTCCATGAGAGTGTGATATAGTTTTGCTTTGTATCCCACCCAAATCTCATCTTAAATTGTAATCCCCCTAATCCCAGTGAGTCAAGGGAGAGACCAAATAGAGGTAATTGAATCGTGTGGGCAGTTTTCCCCATACTATTCTCGTTATAGTGAATGAGGTCTCACGAGATCTGAAGGTTTTATAAGGGGCTCATCCCCTTTCACTCAGCATTTCTTCCTCCTGCCACCTTGTGAAGAAGGTGCCTTTCTTCCCTTTCGCCTTCTGCCATGATTGTAAGTTTCCTGAAGCCTCCCCAGCAATGCAGAACTGTGAGTCAATTAAATCTCTTTCCTTTATAAATTACCCAGTCTTCAGTGTATCTTTATAGCAGTGTGAGAACCAACTAATACAGAGTGGTATCTGATTTTTTTTATTATGAACCAAGAATTTCAGAAATACCAGGTACAAGAGTCAGGTTGTTGTCTGAGAATACCATGAAAGATACTCTTATACTCTGCCCCCAAGTTATGTCTGGCCCTAATGAGCATTCAAAGATCCATGCCATGATTTTCATGGAGAGAATGATTAGACACTGCTATACTAGTTTTTCAAAATCTCAAGTACCTACTCTGTACCATGATTTCTAGGCTAGTGAACATTTCAAAACTCTAGAACATCAAAGAAGCAACCTGAATAATACAGAAATGGATGTTAAAATGAAGACAAAAGGAAAAAAAGGCAATGAGGGGTCATATAGAAGGACACAGAGATGAGTGTAAGCAACATTTGACATGGGTGACCAAAGGTAAGAGCATTAAGTTTTAGGTCTTATCCTGAAAGCCAACAAATAAATACAAATTAGCTTTAGGATGTATGTGAAGAACACTGCAAAGAAGAAGGATTATCAGAAAATATAATTAAAATTTGGAGCAATCTGACTTCCCCACTTTACAGAGCAAGTTGCAGAGTACCATTTCACAGTTTTGTTTATGGCTACAGGCCTATTTTACTGGGAAAGATTTAATTACATCTGTTATTTTACCACCTATGCTCTCAGTGAAGTAGGGGAAGGGAAAGAAATGGACAAGATAGTCACAGAATGGTCATCATGGTCTGACTATTCAAGATACACTTCAATAGGCTTTGTCACTTCTGAAATGTATAAAGCTTTCCTTTTGACCATAGTCAGTTTCTAGTAATCCTGTTGACAGTATTCTTCTTTGAAATGATTCACTCAGCCTCAAAGCTAGGGAGCTAGTCTTTCTTTAAACAAAGTTTATTGAGATGACTTGTAATTCGGTGCTCTATTTCCCTAACTGCTTTGAAAACAAAGACGCAGATGGCAGTTCCAGTTTACTTTTTTAAGAACTCCCACAAAAATTTCTAGTTTATTTCTTGACGCCCTTCTTCCTTCTAGTATATGGCCATCATACATAAATAAACTGGAAAAACGATAGTCTTGTTAGGAAGAATCATTTGATCTTATTTTGTGAGAAGATTATTTACCTGATTCATTTTATTAATTGCTCGATACTTATTTCCATTAAAGAGAAGCACAGCTTTGCTATAATCACAACTTATTAAACATTCAATGTAAAAGTACCAGGCGTGGCTTTTAATATTACCTTTCAACATTCAGGAAAGGAAAGCTCCCACATCCTTGTTTAGAAATCATCATATTGTCCTAATTTTAAATTCTCTTTAGCGTTATTCATTTTCTGGAAAGGCTGTTGATATTATATCACTTTTGTATTGTGCTCTACATCTTAAAATTTCTCTTAATATATTTTGCTTGATTTCAGTTTTATAATGGCCTACTGAAGTAAACAGGACAGTCATTATCATCCACATTATAAAAAGGCCAAATTTAAGAGTTAGCTGAGTTTTCCAAAAGTCACACAACCAATGAGAGAGATGGAATATTCAAACTTAGGCCTTTGATTTTATGTTTTACTCTTTTTAAACACACTATTCTAAAAAAGCAAAGGAGATGAGACAAATGCTTGTTTTTTTGTTGTTGTTGACAGTTTTTTAAAAACATATTCTGATGGTTTATTTTTAACCTGTAGTCACCATCTTGGCAGGTATCATTTCCGGTTATTGCATAAAGTATCCTTATTGCAGCATGTCCTTTGATTTTATGTTTATTTTTCTCCAGAAGGAAAGATTATTCATAAAATGTGGTTAATGCTCACTTGTAGCTGAAAGGCAAAGGTTATAAATCAAATAACAATAGGGTGCAAAATCATGTCACATTGAGAATAATAAGGGATGAGCTTAATTATTGCAGAATTACCCACTTCAGCAATAAATTGGAAAGATTATAGCAAGAACCAATTTCCCGCTCTCATGAATAAATTGCTTCTTTGAATAGCTTTTTTGGTGCCTAGAAAGGAGAATGGAATCATGCAGTTAGTTTCCTGTTGTGTAATATTGAATAGTTGATGGTAGTTGTTTTCCCCATTATTGTGGAAGTAAAAGTTTGTTTCCACAGTGAAGTATTGTTCCCTTAAGGAGGAAGATGAGTCATCCTCTTATGAAGAACAATGGATTTAAAGAAGAAACTGCCTTCACTTAGAGAAATAGTTAACAACAGTATGAAGGGCAATTGAAACCACTTTGCAACGGAAAATCAGCCTCAAGCTATTTAACAACAGTGGAGTAGAGATGCAGATGGTTTATATGCTATATTTATTAATGATTTTGCAGACGAAATAGGTTTTAAGTTGGCAAAGTTTGTCTATTATCCTAAGTCGTCTCTGACAGTGAATACTTGAGAGGGTTGTGAGAAATTCCAGATGCAGTGTTAGATGTTATACTTTTGGGAAGTATTACTTAGATTAACCTGAAATAATGTGTGTTGTTTAAAAAAAAATAGCCTCAGTTATGTATTTAAACATTTCTAATCTTATGACAGTTCAATCAGTCCTTCTGGGGGCTAGAGTGAAATACGTGTTTACAGTGTGATAATAATGGAAAACAAAAATACTTTTGGGGAATTTCATAATCCAGATGACATCTGCCATGATCCTACAATCCCATTTCACGAAAGGAGTCTCCTTCTTTGAGTGTAATTATTTCAACAAAGGAAAACCAGAGTAGTTGTTCAAGTGAAGAGGAATAAATGATGCTAAAAGATGGCTACGTCAAATATAAGCCACTTACAAATGTATTTATTTGGAGGTAGTAAACATGCTTGAGATACTATGTTCAAAGCTATGAAAAACAATGTGAGAAATAAAATATATCTTGTTATCCTATTTTCCTTAATGTTTGATCAAAGAAATATTTAATTAAAACTAAAATTAAATTGTTCAATCTTAATAAAATATTATGGATTCTATACCATAAAATAAAAATTTGGGATTTAAGATTTCTCATCCTAGAATGATAAGCCACATTTATTTTTAAAGCATATTTGTTTAGATGACCACTCCTGTTTGAAAATTTCAGTTAAATATTTTAACAAAGATCTTTCTCATATACACAGAATTACAATTAGTACATAAACTTACTATATTTTCATTTACCAGTACTCTCTTGGTGATAGAAAGTTTTGTCTGATAGATTACTACGATCTCCGCTCACTGCAACGTTCGCCTCCTGGGTTCAAGTAATTCTCCTACTTCAGCCTCCTGAGTAACTGAAACTACAGGCATGTGCCACCACGCTTGGCTAATTTTTGTATTTTTAGTAGAGACGGGGCTTCACTATGTAGGCCAGGTTGGTCTCAAACTCCTGACCTCAGGTGACCCACCCACCTTGATCTCCCAAAGTGCTTGGATTACAGGTGTGGGCCACCACGCCCAGCCTGATAGATTACTATTTAACTGTGTATAAAGACTCAGGATGTGATAAATTTTATAAGCAATATTGGGAATATAGTATGTTTTAGACTCTGTGCCTAGTTCTGGGAATACAAGACCAGTTTCTTGCCCTGTTAGAAACTTTTAGACACAAGACATTGAATCGTATTTTGATGCAATACAATAAGGGTTCCAAAAGACCTAGATAGTTTTAGGATGCTTTGGAAGTACAGAGAAGGTGGCACTTATGGTAAAGATAAGTTAAAAGAAAATTTTTGGAAACGATAACAGTGAAGTTAAAACTTGAAAGATGAGTAAGGTATTTAAGTTAAATCTATTATATGTGAACCTCATGAAGTGAAAAATATGTGATACGTATTCTATAAATCGGATTTCAGAGTATACATTATAGAGTCTAAAATGTGCTTCTGTGTGTTCACGTTTGTGTATTTGTAGATTTGTGAAAGTGTTGGCAGGCGGAGTGTGGACAAGGGTGTGCTAGAGGTAGGCTTCTAGATATAGCCTTGTCATTTACAGAGGGAAAAAATTAGTTTAGACCCTTTATGATAAATGTACTCTCTTCTTAACACACTGTATATATTTGAATCCAGAGAGACTTAATATGCTTGCTCTATCTGATTTTGACTGCTGTGAAAGGTTCTCAGACCTGAAATGTGGGAAATATCAAAAAGCCTCTTTGACTCATTTCAGGATGAAGGTCACATCCATATTAATTGCCCTGATAATGAAACCTTCCTGGAGGCCACCTGTCAGAACATCTGGAGCTCTTGTTGTTACTGCTTCCAACAAGGCACCATTTCCATCCCTACGCTGACTTCAAAGACCCATCTTCAAGGTTGATGGTAAGGACTTGGGAAGGGATGCAGCAGAGATTTACTAGCCGAGGTTCAGGGCTATATTAGAATACTAAAATTTCCTTTTGTCAGTTTCAAAACCTAGCAAAAGAGAGGTAGGTCATTTAAATTCAATATTTTCCAAAATGAATTTTGAACAGATAATTATTGGAAAAAGAATGCAATTTGATTTTCCAGGTTTCCCTCAGGTTTTGGGTTGAATATGAATCAAAATTATCTGTTTTCAATATCAATGAAATAAAAAAATCACTTAAGGGGCACCCCTGTGTATGTGATGGTTAATTTTAGTCATCAACTCCACTGGATTAAGGGATATCCTGATAGTTGGCAAAGCCTTATTTCAGGGTATACTTATGAAGGTTGATATGGTTTGGCTCTGTGTCCCCACCCAAATATCACCTCAAATAGTAATAATCTCCACATGTCATGGGAGGGTCCTGGTGGAAGGTAATTAAATCATGGGGACAGGTTTTTCCTGTGCTGTTCTTGTGATAGTAAATAATTCTCATGAAATTTGATGGTTTTATAAAGGGGAGTTCCCATGCACATGCTCTCTTGCCTGCACCACGTAAGAGCCTATGGTGGGAGAGACTGCCAGGAAGGTCTCTGCCATGCCCTGGGGATGGTACTTGTACTTTTGCGTTAATGATGAAATGAGTTAAGACTTTGGGGGACTTTTGGAAGGTACGATTGATCTTTATATGTGAGGATATGAGATTTGGGAGGGGCCAGCAGCAGAATGATATGGCTTGGTTCTGTGTCCCGAAACAAATCTCACCTTGAATTTCAATAATTCCCGTGTGTCATGGGAGGGACCTGTTGGGAGGTAATTGAATCATGGGGGTGAGTTTTTCCCATGTTGATTTCATGATACTGAATAAATCTCATGAGATCTGATGGTTTTATAAAGGGGAGTTCCCCTGCACATGCTCTCTTGTCTGCCACAATGTAAGATGTGCCTTTGCTCTACCTGTGCCATTCACCACCATTGTGAGGCCTCCCAAGCCATGTGGAACTGTGAATCCATTAAAACTCCTTCCTTCTTAAATTACCCAGTCTTGAGTATGTCTTCATTAGCAGCATGAAAATAAACTAATACAAAGTTGTTTCTGGAAAAGACTGGCATTTGATTCAGTGGTATGAGTAAGAAAAAGCTGCCCTAACCCAATGTGGATGGGTACCATACAATTCTTGAGGATCCAGATAGAACCAGAGACAGAAGAAAGATAAATTCACTTTCTCTTTCTTCTGAAGCTAGGATATCCATCTTATTCTGCCCTTGAACACCAGGACTCCAGATTCTCTGGCCTTCAGCTTCAGTCTCAGAGTTACACTCTCAGCTTCTCTGGTTCCCAGGCTTTCAGATGTGAACTGAGCTATGCCTCCACTTTCCCTAGTTCTTAAGCTTGTGGATGGCATGTGGTGGGACTTCTCAGCTCCATAATCATGTAAGCCAATTTCCATAATATATTTCCCCTCATCTGTCTATTTACATAGATTCTATTGACTCTGTTTCTCATGAACACCCTAACTAATACAGGATATCTGGGTTCAGTTTGGATATTGTAACCACAATCTTTCATTAAATCACAGGGAACAAAATAAATAATACATTTGAGGGGGTCATTGGGGAATATAGGGTCCCAGACTGAACTCAAACTCAGTCTCAGCCAAAGGAAATATTTAATAAAGTCAGTAAAAGACCTGAAGCTCTCAGGATGAGGTCACATCTCACTGAGTTGAGTGTGTAGGGGACAACAGCTTAAGGCACCTACAGAGAGGTGGTTCTTTCTTTTTCTCCTTCAAGGCCACTGGTGGCATGTCTTTTTCACTGGAAATAACCCAAGGGGTTTAATTCGCTCCCTACATGGCTAAAACTGTTGCAATTCTTAATTATTGTGAAAATTACCTCTTTCAAACTCATTGTTAAAACATGTGATGTGAGGAAGAAATAGTATTTGATAAAATAAGTTTAGGAAAGAAAGGGTATTCAGTTACGGTTTTTTGGGTTTTTTTTTCCCCCTCCATGGATTCTCGTAGTTTATAATGTGTTAATATTAAATGCAAACCTAAAAAAAAGATGGAGTTTAAAAGTTCCCAATTTTATTTTCTTGCCTTATTCCCTTTTCTTTCTTTCCTTTTTTCTTCTTAATCTGTCAAAATATTTAATAGAACACACTTTGAGAAATGCTGACTTAGGCTTTGACATTCAAATGGATTCTTCTCATATGGCCTTCAGTACTACTAGCATTCTGCTGGAAAGAGCCACATCTATACTATATGTCTATCACTGCCCAAAACCAGTCTTGACTCCTCAAAGTCTAACTCTATCATGGCTCAAATTTTATCATTTTTATAACCTTAAATCAACACTCTGCTTGTGGTCTGCCCTCACCCAACATACATGGGCATCATTCACGCCTTCTACTTATATTATGTTGAGTGAAGAAGAGACAATAAATGAATAGAAAGTAACAGCATCCTGAATGGTGACCAATGTTATAGAGAGAAATAAAGAGGATAGAGGTTAAAAAATAAGCGATGAGTTAACTGATGCTACTTTTTAACTTACACCAGTGGAGGTTGGCGCAAAAATAATTGCAGTTTTGGACCGTGAATTTTAAATCATTATAACTAGGCTCAAAGAGATCTTTATTAATCAAAATGGGAATCATTATAATGAACACATTTTGCCAATAAGAAATAAGGTTGTTTATTCCTATAGCATAAAAATCTGTGCTTTATGATTTAACAAACACTTGGAAAACATTTTCTGCATCCTACTGATTGTGGGATCATTTTCCCTGCAAAAAGTTGTCGAGATGATTGAAGTGGTAGTTGGTTGGTGAGAAGTCAGGTGAATGTGGTAGATAGGGCAAAATTTGTAGCCCAATTTGTTCAACTCTTATAGTGTTGGTTGTGCAACGTGTAGTCGGGTATTGTCATGGAGAAGTATTGGGCCTTTTCTGTTGACCAATGAGGCTGCAGGCTTTGAAGTTTTTGGTGCATCTCATCGATTTGCTGAGCATACTTCTCAGAAGTAATGGTTTCATGGGATTCAGAAAACTGTAGTGGATCAGAGTGGTAGTAGACCAAACAATGATTATGACCTTTGTTTTGGTGGAAGTTTGGCTTTGGGAAGTGCTTTCAAGCTTCTCAGTGCAACCACGGAGCTGGTCATTGGCAGTTTTCATATAAAATTCACTTTTCTTGCATGTTCACAATCTGATCAAGGAACAGTTCCTTGTTGTTGTGTAGAATAAGTGACTTTTTTTTTTAATTTTTAGTCAGCTAACGAGGTCCCACTTATTGAGATTTTTCATCTCTACAATTTGCTTCAAATGCTGAATGACCATAGAATGGTCTATGTTGAGTTCTTCAGCAACTTCTTCTATAGTAAGAGGATCAGCATCAATGATTGCTCTCAATTGGTTGTTGTCAACTTCTGATGGCAGTCACTGTGCTCTTCATCTTCAAGGATCTCCTCTTCTTTACAAAACTTCTTGAACTGCCACTGCACTGTACATTTGTTAGCAGTTCCTAGGCCAAATGTGTTGTTGATGTTGTGAGTTGTCTCCACTGCTTTATGACCAGTTTTAACTCAAATAAGAAAATTGTTCAAATTTTCTTTTTGTCTAACATCAATTCCATATTCTAAAATAAACACAAAGTAAACAGCAAGTAATAAATCATTAACAAAAAACATAAAGTGAGAAATGCCCCTTAAAATGATGTGTAACACAGCCACATTTGTCTAAGAAAGCATTCCACTATCAAATGGCAAATTTCAACATTACAAAAACCACAATTACTTTTGCACTCACCATGTAAGGTGAGGAACCAGAAATAACTTCTCCAATCAGGTGATATTTGGACAGAGATTTGCAGAGGTGCATGAGTGAGTTGATGACAACAAATGGCAGAAGATTAGATGGGCCTCATCATAACTTTGGCTGGAACATTAGTTTTATCCAAGGACACCATTAGGCTCTATTTGAGAATTTCTGGCAGCACAGGCACAAAGTTAGTCTCATAATTCAACTTCACTTACACAGAAAGGTATACATACATTCTTCCCCCTTTAAAAATAATCTAAAGATTTGGTGGTGGGAACTTGGAGTTCCAGCTACTCAGGAAGATCACTTGAGCACATGAGTTCAAGACTGTACTGAGCTCTGATTGTCCCACTGTACTCCAGCCTGTGCAAGAGAGAAAGATGCCATCTCTTAAATAAATCTAAGCCATTAACCAAAGGCTAGTTGCCACTATTCTGATTTTTGTTTTTTCAAGGGAGTTCCAAATTTACCTTGGACAGTTCATAAAAAGAAAAACTTTTAAGCTTTAATTTTACTTTTCTAAGCACTCATATATCTGAGTAAAGTTACGTTCTAGTTGTATGATTTCTATTACCTGTAAATATTTTTGCTCTGAATCAGAATAATCTATTTTGCTGAAATGAAATATCCATTCTTAAATAAAATTTAACCTTCCTTTATTTTTCTTCTGAAGAGAACCAGAGTTTACGTATCTGTTATGACTAATTTCTCTTATTTTAAAACTTCTCATATTTTAAAATAATAATAATAGTAGTAGTAGTAGTAGTTGTCGTAGCAGTAGTAGCTAAGTTTACTTTTCAGGTCCATTACAATTTTATATACAAATTTTATCAAATTAACATCTGCAATAAACTCACAAGTGTTTTTGAGCAATTACTATGTGCTGGTGACTGAGATGCTTAGAATACAGAGAAAGTTGGTCTGGAACACTATTTTCATGGCATTTATCTCCTGTAGTAGACAGACAATAACGAAAACACACGAGGTAGTGTTGATTTATCTCTTCCATGGGTGAAAAGACAGGTAAAATGGAACTTGGGTTTGCCTTACTTTAAAGCCCATCATTTCCATAGCTATGCTATTTCTTTTTCATTAAAAGGGAAATAGGAAACATCATCAATAAGCTGAGAGTTCAGTAAAGTATTGGTTCAGATTTTGCAGCCAAAGGATTGATATCAAGTTCTAGAATAAATATTTTTCGTGTTGTAAAATCAATGTTTCTCCAACTTAATCTTGGTAGAAAATCACTTGGGGTGCTGGTTTGAAATAAAGTGTTATCAGACCCATCTTCAGACAGTAGGTCTGTGGGAATCTGCCTTTGTTACAAGTTTTCAGGTGATTCAGATGCGGGTAGCTTGTGGGTCAAACTTTGTGAAATTCATTTGATAGTAGTAAGGTCTGGACAGTGCTAGTACAGACAGTAATTAAGCTAATGAGTTCATCAGACAAGACAGACATGAATAAGGCCACAGAAGTACAAGATCAAAAAGTCTCCTAATGAGTTAGAGACATTGAAAAGTTAAGGGTGTTACCTTGGTCTTCCCTCCATCCACCCTCCAATTAAGCGCTTAGATTCACGTCTGTTGGTCCATGTCTGATGCCCCATCATAAGGCCCAGACCCTATGGGCGCCACTGGATTTTCTCACTCCAGGTAAGCCACCATTTCCTTCTCCTCCGAGATGTGGTTATCAGAAGCCTTGAACATGTTTCTCCTCAGAACTAGACAAGAGTTTTAATGATAAAGACCAAAGATTAATTTTAAATCAAGTATGAAGTATCCTATTTTGGTTATTCAATTCTATTTATCATCTAAGGGTTGATATTTTAAAACATAGCAAGCAGGCTCAAGCCTGTAATTCCAGCACTTTGGGAGGCTGAGACGGGCAGATCACGAGGTCAGGAGATCAAGACCATCCCAGCTAACATGATGAAACCCCGTCTCTACTAAAAAATACAAAAAACTGGCCCGGCGTGGTGGCGGGCACCTGTAGTCCCAGCTACTCAGGAGGCTGAGGTAGGAGAATGGTGTGAACCCAGGAGGCGGAGCTTGCAGGAGCTTGCAGTGAGCTGAGATCCGGCCACTGCACTCCAGCCCGGGTGACAGAGTGAGACTCCGTCTCAAAACAAAAACAAAAACAAAAACGTAGCAAGCTTTGAAGAAGGTGGCATGCACAAAAAATTAACAGAAACTTTCAAGATTTTAAGAAAAACTATAATAATATTTTGAATTCAACAGAGAAGTCATCCATAAAACTAAATGTATTATTTAGTATATTAGATTGAAAACAAATACTTTTCCCTTTTGCTTATATATTGTTCTTTGTTTACTTCATTTTAACTGGAAAGAATCAGAAGAAAGTAGCGTTGAAAAGAACTTGAAATTCTTGTGCACTTCTAAAGTCCCTTTCACAGGTCAATAGTAACTTATTTATGACTTCAAGCTTTTATGGTATCAGGCCATGGCAAATTCTTTGTGTAAAAATTGAAATGCCTTAATTACCCTGTTTTTAGGAGGTGAGTAGACTTTTGAATTTAAGTAGTTTATTTTATTGATCATTTGTCCTTGTGTAGGTTGAGGGAAAGGATAAGCACCTCATTTTTTTCTGTCTCCTGAGAGGGACGGGTTTCTAAAAACTGATTTGTTTCAAAGATCCTTTGTCATGCTTCTATTGCAGCAAACTATTGAGAACTTCTTTTTAAGACATTGGAGAAAAGTGTTGAAGATGAATCTACTGACAGTCCAAATGCTCACCGAGGTCACCTTTTTCATAATCAATATTTGAAGAGTCTGCTCTATCAACAATTTAATCTAAGTAAATGAATCCTGCTAGTGAATTAATGTGATTTTAACTGGGATTCACTCATTTTCAATAATGTTGCAGCCTTTGTTGTCTAATAACTTAATGTCTCAAATTATGAGAATTTCAAACTTTGGCAGGCCAGCAGGTGTTTGGGGGGGGACATCTCATTTCATTTATGTCAAAGTTAGAAAATGAATCTAAATATGCCAGCCCGGTTATTTCCTGTGGGTTTAATAGAATCTTAAGCATTATGTTTTCTGCAATGTAAAGGGTAAGAATAATTGTTAACCATTCTTGCTTCTCCTGTTCTTTAAAAAAATTCAAATACTGTTCATACTCCCTGATGATTAAATGTTTAATATGTTTCTATCTTCTTCTATCTCCCAATTATGACCTCCTTGGAGATTTTGTCACTGTGCTTAACTTATAGATGCTTAATAAACGTTTGATGAATAAATGAGTCAATGCATGGGTAAATTAATAGAAAGCTTAGTTTGAAATTATAAAGAATATATTTCTCCATGGAAAGAAGGAAGCAAGGAGGGGAAACACGCAGTGAAGATATCATTCTTGGGTGTAGCTGCACAATCAGAAGGCAGGGTGAAAGCATGCTTAGTCACTGCCCCTGTTTTCATAACATGTTAAGTAGCAGGGTGGAAAACGCACTGCAAGTGTCATCATGAGGTCAGGGTTGCAGCTGAAGGTCTTCCACTTAACCATTTGACCTCGTGCATGGCACTTTGATTACTTTAAGTTTGATTCTTCATTTGAAAAATAGATCTTTGTATGAAGCCACTTCCACAGACTCAGATGATCCTGAAAGGCACAAACCATGCCGTTTGAACCTTTCAACCCTTTTTTCCCAAATAGCCAGCTGCCCTATATATCTTGTGCTCTGGAAAAAGGTTAATGATTTTATTTTAAAACTTTGCAGATGTATTTCCTGAGTATCTGTCTAGAAGCCCTGCAATTCACTTAGGCTTAACTTACAAAGTGGCAGATCTCTCCCTTTAGGCAAACACATCGGCTGCTGTGTTTACAAAACCAGTGAAGGCATATTCCTCTTTCTCTTTTAAAGTTTATTCATGCCTCCATGTGCTCAAGGAGGCATGACTAAGCTCCATGGCATGAAGAAGTCTCCGGAAGTAGAAGTCTTTTAATAGCTACAGAGCCTAGTTCTAGCAAAACAGATTGATTAAAGTGGCATAGCTCTTATAATTTATTTTGTGCATACAAAGGTAAGTTTTACATATAAAAATGGAACCTTCCCTCTATCAGGCAGCATCCAGGCACATTTTCACATTATTTTGCTGCTTAAAGTATTGAACCCAGAATCCAAAGCTGTGGGTTGGGTTTACGTCCCTGACTTGTTTTTTTGACCTTGACTTCGCCCATGACTGACTATGAGGGAAATAAAGCATGACAAAAACTCTATATGCTTAATAATTATCAAGTACATACCACTTCCACCTTCATCCAAAAAAAAAAAAAAAAGTAAAAAAACCTCCTGTAGTTTCTGAACTCATTTTACTGCTCTAGTAGCTTTTACTCTGACTTAAGCTTCAACAGCCAAAAGGGTAATATTTTTAAAACATCAAAGTCCTCTACAAATCTTACCTCAGTCTACCTTGAAGCTGAACAAACATGGGCAGAGCAGGGCCCTGTCCTGCCTACCTTATCTCTCACCCCTCTGCTCCTCTCTCAGCGACCCTCAGAACTCATTATATTGGTCTATTCTCTATCCAGGAAGCGCATCAAGCACTTTTCTCTGTAGTCTTTCTGTTGATGCTGTTCCTTCAATTCAGAATGTACTTCTCTCTTTTTTTAAAACCTCATTTTCTATAGGACTACCCAGAAAAACTCTTCCCTAAGTTTCTCTAACATTTCTCTTGTTACCCAGAGATACATGCTGTCTTACCCATATATACACCACCATAAAGGTTTGTATAAAACTGCGTTATATTTACCTCAGATATAAAACTTCTCTTGTTGTTTGTTTTTAACAGACTTGAGACAACTTAATGAGAGACAATTATGATTCCAACAAAAATACTAATTCCATTGGTACTTTTCAGTTTGAAGTAAAAATAATATTAACATTAATATCTACCTTTATTGAATGTTTACTATATACTTGAAACTGTGCTAATGATTTGTTTTAGTGTTTTGTTTGTTTGTTTGTTTGTTTTGTGACAGAATTTCACTCTTGTCGCCAGACTGGAGTGCAATGGCACGGTCTTGGTTCACTGCAAACTCTGCCTCCCAGGTTCCAGTAATTGTCCTGCTTCAATCTCCCATGTAGCTGGGATTACAGGTGCCCAACACCATGCTTGGCTAATTTTTGTATTTTTAGTGAAGACGGGGCTTCACTATGTTGACCAGGCTGGTCTCGAACTCCTGACTTCAGGTGATCCCCCTGCCTCAGCCTCCTAAGGTGTTGGGATTACAGGTGTGAGCCACTGCTCCTGGCCTGTTTTAGTGTTCTCTAAATCAATCTATTTTTCTTATCTAAACATAAGTATTGTCTCAATTTGCAAATGAGGACAATGAAGCTAATAGAGGACAAATTGCTTGAATAAGGTCTCAGAGCTAATCCATAGCATACCCTGGATTTGAATTCAAGCTTTTTTGGTTTTAATGTATACAACCAAAAGTCCTCCTAGGTTCCTCTTTATCTTAGCCTGTTTATGCTACTATAACCAAATTCCTAAGACTGAGCAATTTATAAAGGACAGAAATTTATTTCTCACAGCTCTGTAGCTGAGAAGTCCAAGACCCAGGACCCAGCAGGTTTGGTGTCTGGTAAGGGCCTGGTCTCTGCTTCCAAGTTGGTGCCTTGGAGGATAAATTCTCTGGAGGGTAGGAGCACTGTTCTTCACATAGCAGAAAAGCAAAAGAGTTGTGCCCACTCCCACAAGCTCTTTTAGTACTGGTATTAAATTTTTCATGATGGTGAAGCCCTTATGATCTAAACACCCTGCATTAAGTCCTGCTTTCCATTACTGTTGCACTGGGGATTAAGTTTCAGCATGAGTTTTGGGAGGGAACAAAACCATCCAAGACAAGACACTCTCTGTTCTTCACTGATTACATCGAATCTATTGGCAAGTCTTTTTGAAATTACCTTTCTAATAGAGCACCAAATACATGTAGTTTTTTCCCTTTCCCCATTTTGGTTCTACCTACCATCATTGTTTTGTTTTGACTATTGTGTAATCTCCTCACTGATAGAGCTTTGGATCTTTTCTTCTTACCTGCATACCTAATTTTTTACTCATTCCTAGAATCTTTTTAAAAAATACACATGCTCCCATGTCATCCCCTGCTTAAAGTCTTTCAGTAATTTCCTACTGAGTTTGGCATAAAATTCAAGTCTAGCTATGGCTTGTGTAATCTAGCTTCGGCCTTCCTCTCAGGACCTCATGTCATATGTGAACCCTGAAAGAATTAGTCCTTGAGCCTAAATTCAGAATAGACGCAATGGTCATGTACTCACTAAAGGTCACACACAAACCATGTGTTCCCACAAACCCACATTCTCACATAACTTTGGGACTTTCATAGCTGTGTCCTCTTTATGCCACCTGAAACAATGGCTGAAAATTATCATTTAGCCTCCTGGGCTAGCCAATAGACTATGACCTGCTTTGACCAATAACAAGCAAACAAGTTTTCATTCCTCATTTTCATTGTGAAGACTGTATCTGCCTGGTTTGCAAACAGTCTACTCAAATAAAGTCTCTCTATTTTTAAAAAGAAAATTATTTTCAGTGGATTCGTTGACACATACTAGCTCACTCTTACATGGAACTCTCCCGTTGCACACGCCTCTTGCTTGCTTCTGAAATTCTCCAACCTTGCTCTTTAGGTCATTTGCACTTGCTGTGCCTTCTGCTTGCAAAGCTTATCATCCAGATAACTTCATAGTTAGAGTTTACTCGTTATTTAGCTATCATAGAAGATTCTCAGGCCTAAAATAAAGAGTCCGCAGCTGTCAAAGGCATCAGAACCAGAGCGACTCCATCTTGAATGGGGGCTGGGTAAAATAAGGCTAGAATCTGCTGGATTGCATTCCCGGGAGGTTAGGCATTCTAAGTCACAGGATGAGATAGGAGGTCAGCACAAAATATAGGTCATAAAAACCTTGCTGATAAAACAGTTTGTAGTAAAGAAGCTGCTAAACCAAGATGGCAACAAAACTGACCTCTGGTCATCCTCAGTGCTCATTATATGCTAATTATAATGCATTAGCATGCTAAGAAATACTCCCACCAGCACCATGACAGTTTACAAATGCCAAGGAAATGTGAGGAAGTTACCCTATATGGTCTAAAAGGGGGATCTTCCCTCAGTTCCAGGAATTGCCCACCCCTTTCCCAGAAAACTCATGAATAATTCACCCCTCATTTAGCATATAATCAAGAACTAACCATAAAAATGGGCAACCAGCAGCCCTCAGGGCTGCTCTGCCTATGGAGTAGTCATTCTTTATTTATTTATTTTCTTAATAGGCTTGCTTCCACTTTACTCTATGGATTTGCCTCTAATTCTTTCTTGCATGAGATCTAAGAACTCTCTTTTTGGGTCTGTACCAGGGCCCCTTTTGAGTAACGCAGCCTCCATTACTTTCTGTCATGTTACTATTTTATTATTTTCCTGAGAGTAACCACTTTTTAAAACCATCTATTATTTTTGTACTGTTTCCCTTATAAGAATAAAATCTCAGGATGACAGAGTCTTCATCAGTGTACTTCAACTATAACACAAAACTAGTCAGTGTACATATTTCAAATTATTTTATGTCATTGATAAGTAGAATTATAGGAAAGTACATGATTGATTTCCATTTGCAACTTTCAAGCTGAGTATCATTCCTCTGACTTGGACTTACGAAACATTTTCTTTAAATCAGTGACATGCTATATAGGAAAGTCTGTTGTAATCAAAATAACCTGGTCTAAAATTCTGGCTCCACTCTTTACAGGGCTTGTGCCGTTGGTTTCTTAGATGACTCAATTTAATCATCAGAAGACTTGGTAAAACGTAGTAATAATACTTACCAAATGACTGCCACACTGCCTGGCGCTCAATATTTCATACTTTTATGTGCAAATATCACAAGATAGATTCAAAGAAGTGCCAAAGACTAGTCTTAGAAATATCTAGACAGATCACAGTGAGAAGTGTTAAGCAGTGAGAACTGCACTAATAAATACACACACGTGATGAATAAAAGACTCCTTTCATATACTAAAAGTAGAAAAGATTTTAAAGATTTTCCAGATTAGGACAGTTTGTGTAGAGTAGTAAGTTAAAGAAACTTGTCAGAAAGTTGCAAAATTTTAAAAAGATACTGTTTATTCTCACGCCTAATCTATCTTCAACTTGGAATTTGCTAATGTTCTTTATCCTGCAAAATAATCTATACATCTGACAAAGGTCTAATATCCAGAATTT